TTAGGTGGAAAAAGTTAAGCTTAGGCAGAGCAGTCTTAAGGGGGCGGGGGATGCATCGTGGTCACATTTACAGAAAGGTACCACAGAAAGTAAAGAAACTTGAGTAAAGAGCTGAAATCAAGTCTCCAGCCACCCCACCAACCTCACGCTCTTCCCCGCTCAGCAGAAGTTTTTCCCACTAGGGTCTTGAGTGGGAAAACTGGTAAAATGTGTCACCAAACTCTGTAGGCAGTGATAGGAAGAATGAACAGAGGTGATACCAGAGAACAAACCTCCAAATTGCTGAGTGAGGAGCATGCGCCCTGGCGTAAACTGTGGATGCCCCCCACCCCTGGCGCAAGCAAGCCATCAGGATTACAGTCTACAGAGTCTCAGCTGGGCATCCAGACACTCAGACACGTAATTTCATCAAACACCTAAATCGGTTAGTGGCATAGCACTGTAAGTCTGTTGAATAGTTAAAACCAACTGTTGGTAATCCTCTCCTCCTGCCTATAAGAACTCTCAGAAGGCTCTAGCAGCCAGCTGCGGCGGGGGGGGGGGGGGGGGGGGAGACCCTAACTCCTCTTCCCTGAGCTCCACTGCAAAGTCTCTCCATGCCTACTATTTTCTAAGCACTGCTGCCAAACCTGGTCCCCTGAACAGAAGAAATCAGGATGTAGATCATCATGGTTTTTCTCCAGTGGGGAAATTACCGGGGAAAGACCCTTGAGATTAAGTATCAAATCAGTGCCCTACACACTGAATGGCCCGGCAGTTTGGGGAAGAAAAGCCGGTGGCAGTTACAGCAGGAAGAGTAGGGACCTCAGAGCCTCTTCCTTGGTAACCAAAGCCTGATGGCTTCAGACTTTACACACAGCTTCTCCACGCAGCACAACCACCAGCTGGGCCGCCTCACCAGAGACAACAGAATGCCAGCTAGCTGAAGTCAGAAAGATGACTAGTGAACATCTCTGCATTTGTCCACAGAAGAACTCTTGGGGCACACAAACTGCAGTTGATATTTTATTATTATTATTATTATATTTATTATTATTATTATTTTGTTTGTTTGTTTGTTTGTTTTTTTGGACAAGCTCCAGGTGTTTCCCATCGAACTTAAGCCTCCAAATGCTCTGAGCAAAGATCTGTATTTCCACCAAAGAACCATGAGAATGATTCCTCTCCCCAACTTAAACGCTGCCACTGGATCTTTAGAGAAAACCCTTGTTTTGTCTTCCAATGTGCTTGAGGCACTTCATTTTGCTACATCTAAAATATGAAACTTCTGTGCTTTAGAAGGGCAGGTGGAAACGAGCAACAAATGTTTGGACAGTGACCCAAACAGCCTGTAGTTGTGTGTGTGGTGTATGTATGTGTGTGTGTGTGTGTGTGTGTGCATGCACACACTTTCCTGTGCACATATGTGGTGGTCACAAGTTTATGTCATCAAGCGACTTCTTCATGATCTGGAACTGAGCCTGGGAGACCTTGAGTTCCACAGCAATTTGGCATTGGGTGTGGCAGCCCAGGCAGGTTCAGAGTGACCCACAACAGAGTTTCTCACTAACCAAGGAGACTAGGCTAGAGGAGATGGACAGCAAAGCCCGAGGGATTTCCCCGTCTCCACCTCCTGAGAGGAATGAGCTTCTGCACCTGGAAGATTCCAAACTCAGGTCCTCACGTTTTTGCATGAGGTTTACCAACCGATCCATCTCCAGAACAGGAGTACCAGTCCGCAGAGAAAAACTGTTCTGGGCATGTCCATCCTCTGAACCAAAGAGTCGCCCCAAGCGGACAGCACAGGGAGCGTGCATTAAACGCCGGGGAGCTCCTTGCCTCTCACATTTCTTCCAGTCTGCACTTAGCACATGTACAGAAGCAGCCGGCTGCATTCCCTGGGCACTACACCACCTCTGACCTGGGTCACTGAGGTGCTAGCTGTAGGACGAAGGGGCAGGTGTGCACCCTCGGGTGAGGCTACTGGAAGAAGTTACTCTCGGCACCGAGCCCGGGACTGCTTCCTTCAGACAGTGTGGGAAACACTCTCTCCCTTTATTTCTTTAGAGGTGGAGATACAACCGCTCTGTCTTCACTCCAAGCCCTCCCGTTGTGGCCCTACAGCCTAGCTGTCTTCCAAATTCACTGCCTCTTTTTCATTGTTGGTGCGTATGTATGTATACATAGGTTTCATTAACAAACTGAACCCAAGATCATCTGCGTTTTAAACAATTTGGCCTCAACAATACGAAGTTATAATATCCTATTTCCCAAGGTAGGATTTGTACATTTTCAAAGCGTATCAGGAGACTAAGTAAAATCAGTAACAGTGAGGTCTTGACGAACTCACTCTGTACTTAGAATTCACAGGGCAGGAGGGGCTTAAAATGTGAAAGGAAAGCAACACGTATGTAGGCTTTCCACAAATTAGTATGATTCAGATTTAGACTTCAAATGCCTGTGGGGGGGGGGGCACTGTAAGAAATAAATGTCAAGTCTGCGGAATTTAACACATGTCTGTGCCTCTCTCCTGCCCCGCCCCCCGCCCCGCCCTCGCTTCCTCCCTCCTTACGCTTCATTTCCTGCAATCTAACTATGCCCTTACGGATCAGGGTACCATCCTAGCAGGAAGGAAAGCAGAGGTTGGTTTCTCCCTGTGACTGCTCTCCCATCACACAGAGCACCCCAACCCTGAACCAGTCACTGCAGACAGCTGAAGCAGCTGGCGTACAGCTGGGCTCTCGTCCCCTGTGTGTGAGAAAAGACCCCCGTCATCTAAGTCAAGTAGGGCTAAGCTTGTACCGGTGCAGACATCCAACACCTCGCAGTGCGTGGCAACAATGGGCCTGGCATTTCACTCTTATTAAAGCTATAAGCCAAGCAAGAACTGAGACCTGTGTCTAGGGTGGCTTCAGTGGGAGGTCCGCACACTGGGGTCTACCTCCTGACACACAAGCCTAAGGAAAGGAGCAAACAGAGCTGCTCACGCCATGTCGGTCTACCTACAAACAGCAATTCTCAGTGTTAGGGGTAACTAGCATCTTAAGGTGGAAAAAAGAAAAAAAACTTATACTACTTCTTAGAATCCAAAACAGACGGATTTTCTTGTTGTAACTCCAGCATGGATTTTTCATTTTGGGTAGTGGTTAAATACACAAAAATATAGCCAATATGGAAAGTGTAAAATCCCATATGAAGCCACAGTTTGCGTTCCAAATGACTATCCTAACTGTACAGAAATCCACTGAGGCAGTATAGACTTGAGATCTATAATTTCAGTGTGTATGTTTATATGCAATCTTTATACTACATTTTAAAAAATCCAAAACACACTAAAGTTATTAATAGTAAAAAAAAAAATAATCCAACAGGATTCATATGACATTAGCCTTTAAAAGCTTCATTACTCAGAATTTATTTATTTATTTTGCAACAGTAAGACCACTTATAGCAAGGAAATACCATCACCCTACCATATGACATTGTACATGATTTTATTGTTTCACATGCCTCAAACTATGGTCGCCTGAGAGTTTAATGTATGTCCTCAAACTCTGATTTAAGTATAAAATGATGAAATTACAGCAAGAAAGCCATTAAGTCAAGAGACACCATGAAAACTGTATATTGGACCTCCCACTGCAAACAGCAAACACCAGCTCCTGCTACGCATGAAGAGAAACACCCATTAGGCAGGGCTGAGTACAGCTGTCCATGACCAACAAGTTCACGTTTAGAATTGTTTTAAAAGGAAGTGACATCTAACTATAGAAAGTTGCTTAATTGCTACAGCATCTTTCTATTTCTTCAAGATCATAAATACACAGAGTAGTCTATCTAGCAGGCTATTACACTTAGTGTATATATAACAACAGGCCATAACTACTGCCTTGCTAAATAATTTGGTATGAAGATTTAGTGCATATTGTTTCATACTAAGAAAAAGGAAACGAGCTGATCAAACCCAGAAATAACAGGCTACAATATCTGTACATTCAAATCAGCACTATCCTTTCGAGCAAGGCAGTATTTTAAAACAATGAGGAAATACCAATCTTTATTTTAAGAAAAACCTAGCTGGTAATATAATTACAAAGGCAGAGAGGAGCCCATGACTACAAAATAAATTAAAAAAAAAAAAAAAGAAAGAAAAGAAAACATGATTGAAACCACTAGTTCATATTTTAATATAAAATGTTATATATAAATAGCACATTAAAGAGATTTACTGCCATGGTTTTATTTCAAAATTAGCTTATGTCAGCCCTGAGAAATGTGCATTTTCATATATGGTCATATTATACTAAGCATGCTGTCCCATCTGCTCTCAATATGAAGGCTAAGCATGGTTGGCCTAATCAGTATCTTAAGGGAGAAATTTATATCATAAATCAGCATAAATTATGTCAAATGATGCTTTTTAAAAATCTGTTCCCTGCCAGGCGGTGGTGGCGCACACCTTTAATCCCAGCACTCGGGAGGCAGAGGCAGGCGGACCTCTGTGAGTTTGAGACCAGCTTGATCTACAAGGGCTAGTTCCAGAACAGGCTCCAAAGCAATACAGAGAAACTCTGTCTCAAAAAAAAACAAAAAAAAAAAAAATCTGTTCCTCATTTGAAAACACATGAGGACATTATCTGTATCTCTGAACAGTAGGTTCAGACTATGAAATGTTTAAATCTAAAAATACAAATGAAGCTATAATTATTAAAAATTAATATATAAGAACTACATGCTCGGTTACTTATAAAAGCAATTTGAAAAGCCAAAATGGAAAAGTGCTCATTTAGTATATCAACAAAAATGAAATATTAAGTTGAAAAATAACTTCCACAAAATGCTTACAGTAGCTGTGGGTGATTATTAAATAATAATTTTATTATTATGCTTTGTTATGTACACATTATTATATATAATAATATATACACCATTAAAGAATATTAAACATATTCTTTTGACTTCAGTGTCTAACTCCTTCTAACAAAAAAAAAAGAAAGAAAGAAAGAAAGCAATGTACTTACCTAATAAAACTTTGGCGTCTTCCACATCAAAGTCTCCATCACCGTCCGCATCATAGACTCCTAGTTTTCCTGCAATAGGAGAGCAAAGATACACACAGGAAAATAGAGAAAACAAACTTAATGATGAACCATCTCTCACTGCAGATTTTAGGCACCATAAATGCTACTTATTTCCTCTCCTTTAGCCCCTGCAGAGTAGAACCCACTGATGCATCACCTACAGATTCAAGAAGTACCCAGCTAATGAACTCTTACTTAAGAGTGATATTTCCCTAAACATTGAGGAATATTCTGATCCTATCACTTGACAGTAATTTTACCGTTCCCTTCAAAATATTTTACATAAAAACTGGAACATGTATTTAAAAAAAAAAAAAATCAACCCATTTCTAACAGTCAAACAATTGCATAAAATTTGATGCCTTTAAGACGTAAAACTTCATCTACCAACAATAAATGCCACCCAAGCTTCCAATAAAGATCAGACATAAATAAGTCAATGGAGAGCATAAGTACTTTACAGAGTAAAGGATGAATTGTTTGATACTTAACAATAAATTACAACAACAACAAAAAAAAGCATGCATCACCCTAAGGGGGACAGGGCTGTCCCAGAAGTAAAGTATGTAAAACTGGGGGTGTCCTGAAATGACAACGGAAAATTTATGGACACCCACTTAAAAACGTCCTGGACACGGGACATCCATTACGTAAGGAGAAAAGGAGGAACCCTGAAAAGAGAAAGTGAGAAGCCAGGCTCACTAATGCTGCCCGGGCGCGGGCTGTGTACAGGGTTAGCATATCAAATGACCTACAGTCCAGACCCAAAAAATATTCCAAAGCCAACACGACTTACAAATCATCACTGGATAAGAACTGTGAGTGGGGGCGGGGGAGAAAAACAGTATACAGCAATATTTTAAAGAGCAAGAATATAGTATTCTAAAAAAAAAAAAAAAAAAAACAGTTGGCAATAAACACTGTTTCCAGTTCTTTAATTCCAAGTCCATTAAAGGATTGCGTAAGGCAGGCAGGAACAAAATTCCACATCTCTCTGGCTCCAGTTTTGCTATACAAAGGTCCGCTTAATACACACACACAAGAAAACCATTAAGAATTCAGGGATGAAGACGTCATCCTTCAGCTAAGAATATGAAAGTAATAAAGTCAAGGCTACCAGTAGCACAGTACTTTAATACCATTTTCAAGGCCATAGAACCCTTCCTGAGAGCCTTCCAAGGGGAAAAGTGATCCTGCCACTTCGGTCCTTGATATAGATGACTAAGTTAGTAGAATAAGGATGAGGTCTTAGAGACAGATGCAGCACACTTAAAATGCATCTCCAGTGGCCTACCTTGAAGTACCTCTGATAAGTTATAACGGAAGTCCTTTGCTCTGGCTGCATGCATACAAAAACATGAAGACTGTTATTTATCATTAAAGGTGCACAAACTTCCTAGCAACAGTACTGTGAGTTAATGAAGTCATATTTTTGCTTATGCCAGGCTAAAATTCTTTTAATTTATTCATATATTTGGAGACATTTCCCTTAAGATAGTAAAACATCAGTGAGTGACAGAGCATAATGTAAGCACACTGTGTGTTCTTTGTTATTCTCTCCCCCAAAGATAGACAGCAGCAATCTACGATCACCACCAGAGGTCCACTGGAAGGGGGTGAGTCTTCAACACAATATTAACAAGTGTGTATTTTTCTTCCTGCCCGATCCATGTCTTTAACTGGTAATGCTGATTATTAGAGAGGGAGGCCATACTTCTTCTTAACTGCCTCCAGTGAAAACCAAATGACTTTATCAATAATTACTAGATAAACAGAATGTGGTATATCCGTATGATGGAGTGTGAACTTTACACATACAATGATGCTAAGCAGGCAACTCAAGAGGCTACACACATGTATAGCATATGCTATGCTCAGAACAACCAAAACTAATCCCAGAATGTCAAAATGTTGAGGAAGGAATGAATGTCTAGGGAAGAATGGGTAACAGACACGTTCTAAAATTAGATGGTGATGACCAGGCAAAATGATTGATATATTAAAAACCAAGGAACTACAGAATTTTCAAATGTTTACAGTATGTAATTTATGCTGTTTCTCTTCATTTTAAAAAATAAAACTGAAAAACAGTTCATATAAAACAAATCATTTTTAAAACCTCAGTGTGGATGGAGAGATGGGCTCAGTGCCCGAGAGGGCTTTCTGCTCTTCCAGAAAACCCTAGCTCAGTTCCAAGCCCATACTGAGTGGCTCCAGCTCCAAGGGACCCATTGCCCTATTCTACCCACATAGAGACATAAGTAAAACACTGTTAAACTTTAGTGATTATACAAAGAGAAAGGAAAAAGGGAGAGGAAAGTGAGATATTATTAGAAGCATCCCCAGGAACTTCCTCAAAGAACATGGAGATGCCCCACCTGCCCACATGGTCAGCAGCTGAGTGAGCTTAGCATGTGCACTCACACTCCTGTCTCAACAGCCATGGCAGGAGTTCCTAGTAAACTCTGCCTAAAGGAAGGTTTTGCAAGCCAGCCATGGCGGCTCTCTCCGGTAACCCTAACGCTAGAAGCCACGGCAGGAGGATCGCTATAGGGTCCAGGCCAGCCTGGGCTACATAGAATGAGGTGCTATCTGAGATCTAAGCCCACTAAAGGAAGCAGTTCATGATCTAGAATTTTCAACACTTAAATATAAAGTACAGAAAATAGTGAAAATTAATTTACAACATTTGTTTTCATAGAAGCTTCCACATACCACAATAAATAGAGAGCCTACATATAAATCGTCAATAAGGCCACTACTCCCAGGCAACCCTAGTAATGTTCTCTTTCCTTTCGCTTTATCAAGAATCACTGGAAAGCTACAGCCAGGATTACTACCAGAGGTACCTGCAATAATAAGCCCAGGAAATTACCAAGGACTGTGACTTTCCTTCTCACAAATTCACTAGAGAGATAGCAGCCTAAGTCTTACCTAGAACTTCCTCATAATCAACAAGGTCAAACCACACAACGGCCACAGACGTCCAGACGCCCAGCAATGCAATGACCATGAACCAGGTGAGAAAGGAGCTTCCGGAAATCCCTCCTCTCCTCCCATTCTTGTGTCCTCCGGGCTTTGCTTCTGTTGGGAGAAAGGAAAATGCAAGGTGTCACCACGTAAGAAGACGACACTTGGCTGAATGCCACCTTTCCCACTCATTCATTTTGACAGTATTTTGCTAGATCGTTTTAGAAACAGGTTTGACTTAAATCCCAAAAGTGCATTACACAAAATAATGACTTTGAACATAACCACGTTTCTGCTTAAACCCAACTACAACATTTAAATAATCTTAATTTTGAACAGAAGTAAACCCTTGATGGGCTATTGGGGTTTTGTTGTGGTGGCTGTTGTCATTTAAATATGACGGCAGGACATATACATTCCTTGTAAGCCCTTTGTCAAAACGTTCTTGATGGGAACATTTTTGTGTCCAAATGGCCACATGTCCTGACTAAGTAGCTGACACTGGTCTGCCTTCCTGTAGGAGGGAAAATACTGACCCCAGTACATTACTCCCCATTATCTTGCGTTGTCCAGAAATTTAACTCTCCAATTAGCCAAAATTTCTCTTTGATAAAATATCCCAAGTCTTTAGCAAGTGTCATGGACTGGACAGACATTCTGTCTGGCCTTCCACTTCCGTGGTTTCTTTACTGCATGGCTCCCTAATCCCTGAACAGTTATGCCAATCTTCATAGTGACCTCCAGCTCAGCCTGCCCCTTCTCTGGACGCTGCCTTCCCCTGGTGCTGGGGGTGGCTATTTTCTTACAGAGCGATGTCTCTTCTCAACCCACAGCAACACACAATCAAAAACCGAGCCTACAGCCTTAGTTAATGAAATCAGATGCAGATGGATTTTATTTCATATCCTATTCATACAGTGTACCACACAAGACCGTGTAAACTGCCACAGAAGGAAATAAAGCCCTCGAAAATCATTCAATATTGAGGGAAGGTGAATGAGGGGAGAGAGTATACCACACAAGACCGTGTAAACTGCCACAGAAGGGAATAAAGCCCTCGAAAATCATTCAATATTGAGGGAAGGTGAATGAGGGGAGAGGACACAGAAATATAAATCACAGACAAAAGATGCAATACAGCACAATTCCACCTCCCTCCTTCAGGAGATGCAGCAGAGTGTGGGGAGGCAGGAAACAGGCCTTGCCAACTGGCTCTAATGCAGGAAACAGCTCTGTAAACTGCTGCTCACCAAGTGTCATTTACCATGCTTTTGCTATGTTTTGTGTTCCTTATATTCTCCTAGAAATATTCTTCTGACCATCAAAATAGACAGAACCCTTGAACGTCTTTGGTAGTTATTTTTTAAAAAAAGTCAATACTGTTAAAAAAAAGTTAGTGCCATATGCAAATTTCTCCTTAAGAGAACATTATATCCACAACTATAAGTAGCATACTTAAGTACCTGATGTCCCCAAACGCCACTTCAAAAAAGGAAAGTTTTCTCCATCCTACCAACACAGCAGGACACTACCTGGCCTGGTGGCTTCTCACAGCATTGTCACAAGCAACGCTGTAGGTGACCCTCATGGCAGTCGGCCAGTGTTTCTGCAGAAGGTGTTTCCAGAAACTTAAGCAGGACATTGTTCATTCTGTGTGGCTGTTCCTCGTATGGTAAGTCATCTGTCATGCCCCGTTCCCTCAGCCCAAAGGCAGGTGGATCCCAGGATGACTATTCCCTCAAATATCTCAAATACCCCTTACACGGGGCACTGTCTGCCTGAGAACCCTGAATTCTCAGGGACAGGAATCATCATCTGTTACAGGGGAAAGATGAAGGCATTTGTCATCATCAGCACTGCACACTGGGCAGGACTCAGAAAACGACCTCTGCAGCCCTAACTGACCCCTGCCTTCTACCTCCATGAGATTACCCAGAACCTGCCTTCTATCTCCACACATACTCCAGAGAAAAGAACACTAAGGCCTTCAGGCAATCAACACTTCCAGAGCATTGCTCAAAAAGAAAAGGAAACTGAAACTGTGGCAATTAAAAGGATATTCCTTCTTTAGACGTATTTTGCCTGCGTGAGTATTTTGTCTGCATGTACATCTCTGCATCATCTGAGGGTGTGGACCTTGAGAAGGTCAGAAGAGAGCATCAGATGCCCTGGAACTGGAGTTGAGGCTAGCTGTGAGCCACCATGTGGGTGCTGAAGCCAAACCCATGTCCTCTGGGAGAGGACATTTTTATTGTTTTGGGGGAGGGAGACATGGTTTCCAGTATTTTTATTATAAGTCATAAGCAACCACATAGATTATTAAAGTAACACAAAATAAGCTATCGCTGGAATTTTTCAATGTAAGGGAAAAGATTGCTAAGTTCTGTAGGACAGGCGAGCCCCACAAACTCAGTAGCAGTGTTTGGGATTTAGTTTACTACACTTTTATAAACATGAAGACATTTTCCCTAAGCTATATTGGGGGAGGGATCTTTCTTTTATAGGACATACAAATACACACATGCTGGAGAGATGGCTCGGTGATCAGGAACTTATACCGCTCTTGTATTCAGTTCCCAGCATGCACATCAGTGGCTTACAACTGCCTGTAACTCCAGCACCAGGGGAATGCAATGTTACTGCTCCTGTGTGAATCTGAACTCATGTGCACACACTCATAATTAAAAAAACAAAACTAAATCTTTTCTAAAAAGTTAAATCCATCTCAAATTTAAACTTTCATTTAAAATGAATGGTAAGGCTACAATGCACTGGGTTCTCGTCTAACCCGTCACTCTTGGACATTGCCACCGTCACCATCTTTTCTATTGCTCCCCATTAACTAAAATAGGAAATTGTTAGAAATACTTTATCCTTTACAAACAGTGTGTTACTCTAGCATCGTTAACCTTCTTACTGTTGATCCTTGTTAGTTCCATAGAGGATAAAAGCACTTCACATCTCTCCTTTGAGCATGCTCACAAGGAAAACCAGGCAGCAGCTAAGGGACCCAGACATCTCTTAAGGGCCCCTTTCCGAAGTCTATAACCTGTGCTTGGTCTGACGCTTTATAAACGCGGTGTGCCTAGTCCCAGGGGCAGATCCGTTTTCCTGCCTCAAGTGAAGGAAGTGTGGTAAGGCAAGCCCTTCCCAAGGGTTTCAAACTCCACAAACAAATTCAAAACCAGGACGTTATCACGAAAAGAATCTGAAAGAACATTCAGCATTTGTTGCTATTCCCTTAGATCAAAATAAATCTAAGTCGGTCTTCATCTTATTTCCAAGCTGCAGTCACCAATGACTATAGTTTGCTATAGTTACAAATATGGCAACTCACTTTCTGAAATGGAAACAAAATGGCATTCGCTTTCTTCCATGCTGCCTCATCAAAATGATGTCCACATCAGAAAATGTTCCCACACAGCACTGAAGAGAACATTACTATGCGGGCTCAGCCCCAACAGCCAGGAAAGACTCTCCAAAATGGTCTGGGACAAAGGGCCACTGCACGCTGATGAGCGTGTGACTCACTGGCCATTAAGTAAACTACAAACCATCTGTGGGTAACGGTTAGTGGGCACTGTACTGGGCACTGGCACTGGTACTAAGCAGAGCATTTAAAGTTCTAAAACAACAGTTCCTTACATGGAGTTTCAGTATCCCTATCCTATACGTGTGTTTTAAACCAACAAAAAGACAATCTTTGCTTATTAAAAAAAAAAAAAAAAGGCACAGACAAAAAAGTAAATCCAACGCATTAAGGAGATGAAACCGTCGCTCTGGGAAACAAAACCCTCGTGTCTTCTATTTTGTTTTTCACGTACCCTCTGCTTCACATGAAGTCATGAAGCAGGTCAATTTCCATATAAGGTAAGCCTGCTCGAACCGAGCCTGCTCACGAATACAAAACTAGACTTACATATCCCTTAAGTTTCCCATATTTTTATAAGAAACCTGAACACACAATTCTTCAGGCTCAATGTAACAGACGTATCAACAAGACTGGTGGAAGTTTATAAAATGTGATTTGTAGTAGCAGAATATATTCAGGCAGTCTAAGTGAGGACAGCAAAAACCTGTTCAGAACGAATTTGGATTATTCCATGAAAACCCAGGCACTGTGAAGAGTCGACCTCTCCAGAAATTCAGGAAAGAAAATGTGGAAGGCACAAAACACTTGGCCAGAACCATCTGAACAGAGCACAGCTGAAAATAAGCAAGAACATTGTCAGTTAGTCCTAAACCCCCCCCACCCCCACCCCCGCTTTAATCCAACCAACAGACATATACCTTTATCCTCAGCCATTTTGACTTCTTCAATCCATGCATAAAGCACACTGACTGACGGGAAAAAACTAAGGTGCTCCCAGGAGGTATGGGCCACCCAACATGCCCTTTTTGTTAGAACCGTAACTACCAGTCCTGCCTGGCAAAGGGCTCTGGAGCTGAAACTGGACCCTGACTGCTCAGCAGCTATTTTTAGAGGCCAATTCCTCATGGCCACATGCTGCTAATCACTCAGGCTGACTGCATTCCTGACAACCCTGCAGCCAGCCCTACCCACTGAGGGCAGACCACCCCTCCACCCAACCACCCCTGCTTGGTTGGTCCCTAGCTCTTCTTGTAGCTCCAAGTTCTGAAAGATGAAGCAGCTGGGAAGAACACAGGGGAACAGAGTCCCACCGGTCCGGTTTCCTTCGGAGAGGGCTTCAAGGGCCTCAGCTTTAACACCAAGTCATTCTGTGATTAAAGGAGCCCACATGTGGCCCTCTGCCCAGAGCCAGCCTCACTTGGCCCTTCAGAATCTTAATCATAAGCCTTCAAGACTATTTAGACAGAGTGCCTGAAGAAAGACAAATGATAAATGACAACAAATTAACGAATTCTCTAGAATCCTGAGTCACAGCATTATCATCCCCGGAATAGTCCTTCCAACAGCAAAACTAAAGCCAGGGTACAAACACATTGCACTGGAAGACAAGAGAGGACTGTGGGACACTGAAGGAGAGAAACTGGAGGAAGGGAAGGACGGGGGAAGGGAGGGAGAGCCTCAAACCGGCTACTGGACAGAAACCATGAAATCCCACATCCAATGTCCCCTCCTGGGAAGTGAA